CACTCGTTTTTTTAAACTGAATATAAGCATTTTCATTATTGCTTTATTTATTACAAACATATTCTTTCAACATCATTACACATTGAGGCCCTTCTTTTAGGTAAAACGATCTATCTTAAATTTTCTTTCTGAAGTTTGGGACTATTATGTTTTTAAATAACTTAGAAGGTAAAGGAGGCAAGCACAAGCTTTAACCTTAACAAATGCGCGCGAAACGTGCGAAAAAGTTTTGTGTTTTTAATTCTAATTTCGGCGGAATTGATCCAAACTCCCTAAATGTGCTATTTTTAGAGGAAATTGGTCTACCTCAACAAGAAATGCTCTTATGTTATATATGGCCACACTCGTTTTTTTAAACTGAATATAAGCATTTTCCTTATGACTTTATTTATTACAAACATATTCTTTCAACATCATTACATATTGAGGCCCTTCTTTTAGGTAAAACGATCTATCTTAAATTTTCTTTCTTGAGTTTGGGACTATGTGTTATAACTTCGAAGGTAAAGGAGAGCAAGCACAAGCTTTAACATAAAAAAAAAATTTTTTTTTTTCAATTCTAATTTCGTCGGAATTGATCAAAGCTCCCTAAAATGTGCAATTTTTAGAGAAAATTGGCCTACCTCAACAAAATATGCGATTTAAAATTTGAGGTTTTCAGGCACTTTCCTGGGTGAAAAGGGCATTCAATAGGGAAAGATTTTCCACAGATTGATATTTTCCCCTTGTCCCCCGGGGGTTATGCCACTGCGGAGAATATCTGGTGGCTTAGATCAAACGTGCTATGGACACTTTTTGAAGTGGAAAAGGGGTTGCAGGCCGGGGTATTGTGATATCTGTTCATTATATCTTCCTTTTTATTCTTGTCTTTATTTTTCTCTTCTCTTTTTCTTTTTCCTTTCTTTTTCTTTCCCCTTCTTTCTCTTTCCCTCCATCTCCCCTCTTTCTTTTCTCTTCTTACAGCCCGGTACGACGCCTTGGTCAGCCCGGTAAAAACCGTCAGAGGGGACAGTCTGCCCACCTGCCCCCGCCTGTTACGCCACTGCTTATAAGATGAATGGGAATATGAATCATGCAGATCTGGAATCAAGTCTAGGTGGTGGGGTCAACATTCCTCCCCCGGGAATATTTCTAGATGGCGGGAAATGAGCTTTCCCGACTTCTGACGTGTCTAATTACTTTTAAGTTCTTCAAAATTCAAGGTTTTCCCATCTTGAAAACGGTCAGGTAATTTTTTCCCATTGTTATTACAGTAAATAGGGCTTATGTGTGTATACATACATAACAATTTAAAAAAAATGAGTAGTTGCATACGAATTTTCCATGAATCGATGAATGGGGGGTTCGGGGGTTCTTCCCCAGGAAAATTTTGATTCCTAGAAGGCGGGAAATGAGCTTTCCCGACTTCTGAGGTGTCTTTTAAATTAAAGTCATTAAAAATACTTCAGAAGTCAGGAAATCTCATTGTCCACCATTTAGAAATCAACATTTTCCCGGGAAGAACTCGAACCTCCCTTTCTCTGGGTTCATTGATTCATTATAATAATTTTCAAGAGGGGAACACCTTGAGTTTTGAAGAACTTAAAAATAATTAAGTTCTTCAAAATTCAGAAATTGTGGTTCTTTCCCGGGGTGGCCGGAAATGAGCTTTCCCGACTTCGGTGGTGTCTTTTAAATTCTTCAAAATTCAAGGTCCACCCCCCCCCCCACACCTTGGAAATGATTCAATTAATCAATGAACTCCGAAGATAAAGGGGGTCTGGGCCCCCCCGAAAAAATTTTGATTTCTAGATGGCGGGAGATGAGCTTTCCTGACTTCTGAAATGTCTTTTAATGACTTTTAAAGTTCTTCAAAATTCGAGTAGTTGCGCATGCGTATTTTTTTTCCATAAATCGATAAATCCCAAAAAGAAAGGGTGGTCCGGGGGGTTCTCCCCCTGGAAAATTTTGATTCCTAGATGGCGGGAATTGAGCTTTCCCGACATTTGAAGTGTGTTTTAATGAATTCTATGTTCTTCAAAATTCTAAATCAGCTCACGGGTCCTGAAAAGGTAGGTCTAGAATTATTTTCTTTTTCCCCTTTTTTTGTTGCCCAAAGGAGGGGTCAGGACCCATGACCCCCCTCCCCCAGATCCGCCAATGTGAATTGCGAGAAAATGTAACTCGGTCGGGTACTGGATAACATTCTCTTCCTTCTCCTCCTTCTTCCCTCCTTCTTTTTTTGCATTTCCGATCATACAAAAATTTCCAGACATATATTTTTCGCCAAAAGGTGGGGGGGGGGGGCCGGGCCCCCAAGGCCTCCCCGCTTCCGCCGGCCATGTACTGTACCTCTGTACCTTTTGGCCGCTCTGGTACCTATTTACCTCAAACAAGAAAACATGGCAACTGTCGGTAACTTATATACTAACTACAGAGGGCTCACTTCTCAACCAGGGGATAACAAGAGTGGTACTACCTAAATTTACCTTGGAGTGTATAATTTCAACAGTGCTTACAAGTGTAAAGGGTCACCCATTTCCAGTCTTGTGACTTTCAAATATAAATGAATTTCATATTAGCAAATTTTATCCATTACTGAACTTGTGTCCATCATGAAGAGTATTCAATCTGTTTGCT